TAACAGGCAGCCAACACTGCATTTAATTTCCAACCAAGTTTAAAAACACTAACTGGCACCTGTGACAGTCCATCCTGACATTATGGAGTAGCACTGAGAAATTATAAATTCAATATAAAAGCTGTGATCATTACAAATTAGACACATTCGTCAAAATGACATTGCGCTGTTCTAAAACAATCCATGCTGCCAAAATAAATTTAATCACTTCTACAACAGTAATAGCCTGTTTTGAAGCAACCAAATGCTAATGCCTGTCTAAAATAAAATTTCTCCTGTCTGTCTAAGAGGTGAAAACATCAACTCCAGCACTTTCTCCTCAGGTTCATCACATTTCTGTCACATCCCATCTGCAAATTCACCTCGCTTTAGTTTTTAAAGCCGGTGTGCAAAGTGATCAGCGCGCTTTAGGTAAAAAAGACTAAAAGCAGTTAATTTTGTCAGCTGTGTCTTCTGGTCAGTGGAGTGCATCGCCCTCTAGTGATAGTGTAATGATGCTACAGCTGAAAACCTGCAGGTACAAAAGGAGAAAAATGGGAAATTAAAGCAAGGATGACTCTTAAAGTTGGCACACCAGCCTGCTGGACTTGCATCGAGTTAATGTGGGTCTACATGTAACTGACAGCAGAAGAAAATCTGAATCCATTTCTGAATTATGCATGTAAGAAAAGTCAGAAGTACATTATGAATAATCTTTTAAATCCATACTTAAAAATAATAATAGAAAAAATAAATAAATTTAAAAAAAAAAAAATCTCACACATAAAATCCATCTGTTTACCATCTTACCTTAGTTTTTATTTGGGAATCCCTGCCACAATCTCAGATTCAATACCACAGTGATCTGAACCACGCAGGAATTTAAAGTATCCTAAAAAAACAACAACAAAAAAAACAAAAACAGAATTTACTTCAATTTCCTAAACTGAAGAAAACACGTGAACATCTATAAACAGCACCATTTGCCCATTTTGAGTGAGGGAGTATTACTATAATTTACTGTAAGAGAAGAATTTCTCATTTACTGGTAGAGTTGTGTAAACGAGCTAGAACAATGTCAAGAAAACATTTGTAAAAGTTAAAGACGTAAAGACCCCCTTTCAGAGCATTTAATGATTATTGTTTAAAAAAAAGAAATAAATGAATAAAAAAAAAATAGAGCGAACAGGGTTTCAGCTTTGGTGTGTCATGAAGTCAGTCTGTTTTACATGTAAAATAAAGTCAAATATAGAAGTGTGTGCTCCTGATATAAATAATGTATAATTAAAAATAATACATCTGTCTTAATGAAGATCAAGTCCTTGTGATTCTGAACAAAATACTGATTCAGCTATAAGACTCCCCATTCCATTTTACAGGATTATACTGTAGTATTTTCAGTAGTGACTCCCCTTGCATAGCATGATGACTACGTGTGTTAACAGTATTAAACTGCCTCTGCTCACCATTATCACCCCAATCAGTGTTCCAGGAGTTGGCACAGAGCCAGTAGGGAGTGCCATTTTCCTCTCCCCAGCCCAGGATCTTGATGGCGTGACCACCGACAGCAGAACCAGACACATGTTGATAAACACCTGGATAAGACAGAACAAATCCATTAGAGCTCACCTAAAGTTTGTTTTTTTTAGTACAATATAGTGAAGAGACTGGGTGTGTATTCTAATAGTGTCTATTTCATACTAAGTCACATTCAAGGCACCTTAAATACTAGAATATCAAACTTCATCTAGCTGCAGTTGGAGATTTCCAGCATGAAAGCCTGTTAACTTTACACACACAAACCTCTGCAAAAGCTAAACAAAGAGGAGCTTCAGTTCAAATCAATGTTAAGAGGACACAATCCCACACTATATGCTTATGCTTCAGCCACAAAGTAAAAGTGAATTTGTGAAATGGCAGGCAGGGTGATCGTTACATGTGTGATGAGTTCATGTGTTCTTACCAGTCTTGTACAGAACAAAGTCGTCATAGACTGTAAACGCTCCCTCTACAGGGCCGTTCTTGTAGATCTCATACTGAATCTGCTGTTCGTCTGATGGCACGCTGTAAGATGTTTTACCTGCAACACACAGAGTCAAGATATGTGTGCATACAGCCTTGTTCACCAACATAAAAAAAAAAAAAATAAAATATTGCATGTAGAAGTTTATAATATGTGTAATTTAAAAAAAACAAAACAACAACAACAACCAGAAAATCAAAGTTCATCTGCACAATAGCTATTTGAATATCAGGATAAGGAGTTCCCTCAGATTTCATATAATATCCATTTGTTATAATTCAATAACAATTTGTTTTGTTACGTTGCAATTATTACTCATAATTATGCAGACTGAGACAATATTACAAACCTTATTTATGATAAATATACATTTCTTTCTGCTGCTCTTACCATAGTGCTTGTCCTGTGTATAGCTTGGTGTGTATCCAGACTCACACTGGCGGACACACTCTGGTGTGTCACCACCCTCCCCAGTGCAGGGAGGTCTGCTGCCATTCACATGGTGCTCACAGGGGGCGATGGTGTAGGGCCTGCAGCCTGCAGACACAAAGATATAGTGTCTCTACTGTAATCACACCCAACATGCGCATAACTGCATCAATCTATCAGAAACACACTCACCAATGTGGGAATCATAGAGACCCCCAGAGACCAGCCCTTCACTTGCCCAGAAGTCCCAGGCAGCTGAAGGGTAGCCACCATTACATCTAAAAAATAAAAAAAAACACACACACACAAACAAAACATTACTTACTAAAAATGAACTTATTTAAGGAAAGCGCCAAACTTTCTTTTCCTCTCTTAGCACCAATCGTATCATCTATATCTGCTGCTCTTTTCCCCAGATTAAGGTTTTTATGTCATAGTTTGGTTCATTATATAAATTTATTATCAAAGTTCAGTGATCCTGGTAAATAATTATAATCTTAATATCTTGATCTTTAATATTTTAGTGATTTCAGTTATCTGATGGGTAAGAACTGCTCACCCCATGCCACAGCTGTCACAGCAGGTCAGCAGATCCTCTGAGGAGATCTCCACATTGACCTTCCCATTGCTGTGAATGCATACACGATCAGAGATGGCCTCTGCAGCACCAAACGCCTGGACCCACAACAACAAAGACATGAAGCAGGGAAACAGATCATCGCAAAATTTGAAAAGCAAAGGTTTCATTCTTGTCCTAAGAGCTGAGCTCCATTCTCTTCCTTAATGAGGTTTTTTTTTTTTTTTTAAGTTTCTTATGCAATTTCAGATTACAGAGCTCTTGAAGAGTCTAGCTACATGTGGTGACATTGAGCAGCTTCTCACCCAGCAGGATCCACAGGAGCCCTGGTCTCTGATCTCTTTCAGAGTGGGACAGTTAGGCCACTGCTGTCTAGCATCAAATTCTTTTGGCAGCTTCA